GATTTCCCAGAGGATGCCCCATCCCTTGAAGTGTCCAAGGCCAGGTTGGACAGGGCTTGGAGCAACCTGGGCTAGTGGGAGGTGTCCCTGCCCATGGCAGGGGGTGGAATGGAATGAGCTTTAAGGTCCTTCCCACCCAAACCATTCCATGATTCCATGGAATACTCTGCTCAGCAGCATCTCAGCCTTCAAGGGTGGAGGAATTGACCCAAAACAGGTGACAAAAGGAACAGAAGAAAGGAGTTTTCTTCCTCCACCAGCGATGGCTCGTTGGGGATCGAGGCTGTTCTGGGAACCCTCTGGAAGCAGCTGCCTCCTTGGGAAGCCCCATGACATGTTTGCTGCTGTATTTTGGGTTCAGGAGCCTCTTGTTCCCCTGGGAGAGCAGCCTTTGGGAGCTGCCTGGGACTGGCTGGGCTGTGCCACCTTCCCAAGCCAGGGCTGGAGCCTCAGGAGAGCAGCGTTGCTGCGGCTCTCGTGGAGCTCTTGGATTTCATTGTCCTGGGGAACAAAATCAGGGATAAACCACTTTGGAGAGCCCAGCCCGTGGCCTTGGAGGGTGTGGGTTTGTGCCACAGCCCAAACTTGTCCCCAGAGTGGAGCCCAAGAGCCCCGGGTGGGTGTGGGGGAGCTCCGGGTGCCCCCCTGAGCTTTGCTCCCAGAGCCTTGGGGGCACTTCTGACCCCTTGAATCCGTGTGCTTCAACGTTTGGCCCCAAGATGGGACCGACCCTGCCCCCCCCGAGGTGGGGGGTGGTTGGTCTCCCTGGTTTCCTTGCTTGCATCCTGCTTTTCCTGAGGGAGGAGCTGCTCCTGCCTGTGGGGATCTGCCTCTCACTGGGAGCTGAGCATGGAAAGGAGCTGGGTGGGAATTGCTGGAGCTGGGGGAGCAAACACCTTCCTGCAGCTCCCAGCTCTGCATCCTTAAAAGCAGAGCCAGGCAGCAGCGTTGGCCCCTTTCCAAGGGCCGGGCTCCTGGGAATTCACCTGCAGCAGGGGCTGTGCATCCCAGGCTGGCAGCCAGCCCTGCCCTGTCACCCTTGGACAGCCTGGAGGAGACACACAGAGGGTGCTGAGCACCCAGATCTGGCAGGGGTTTGGATCCCCTCAGCACCCTGGGGTGCTTCCAGGCTGGTCCTCCAAGGGAATGTTGGTGTGGGCAGCAAGGGATGCTCCTTCATCCCCGAGCTGGAGGAGACCCTTTGCTTTTTGGAGGGGCTTGGAGGAGTGGGGGAGATGGGGGGTTGTCTCTGGAATTAGGGGGATTTTGGGTGGCTCTAAAGCACACGTGGGTGGGGTTTTGGGTGGGTAAACCCCAACAGTCCCCCCCTGTGGTGCCGGGGGGGCTCTGGGAGAGCGGGAAGCAGCAGGAGTGATTCATGGCCCTGGGCTGGCTGCAGAAATTCCCTGCTCGGCTTTAAGTTTGCTTTCCAGGCACTTCTGCAGAGCAGGGCTGAGCGTGAGCCAGGTCCTGGAAGCAGAGGGACTGCAGTGAATCCTCCTTCCTTCCTTCCTCCCTGTGTGGCAGGACGGGATCTGCAGTGAGGTGCAGAGAGCTGCTGCAGCCCGGAGCTCCCGCTGTTCCCTGGAGAGCCACCGACTTAGCGGGATAAAAAAGGCTCTCAGTCAATCCCAGGTAACTGAGGGAAGCAGGGAGGAGTGTCCTGTCTCCCTTGGCAGGGCTGGGGGAGCACAGTGACAGGCTTCCCCCTCTGGAATAGCACTGCCAGCCCCCGGAGCAGCCCCAGGTCCGTGCAAACTCCTTCCCTCCTCCTCCCGGCCCAGCGTTCCCAGCCCCCAGATTTCATCCAGATTTCCTTTTTATCCCTGTTGGGGATCCCTATCCAGCTTGGACAGGGAACAGAGGACACAGTTCCTCTGTGCTGCTGCTGCATTTGGCTTTCAGGAAGCTCATTTGCATTTTAAACCCCTCCGCAAGCTCTTTTTCTTCCTCTTTTTTTTTTTTTTTCCCCAGTGCTCTTTTTTTATCCGTTTTTTTTTTTTTTTCTCCACTTGGCTTTGCTTTCTTTGCTCCTGTCCCTCCAAAACAGCAAGGCCACTGCAGGCTTTCAAGGACGAGCCTCTGGATTCTTTTCCTGTCTAAGGAAAAAATGGGAAAACCAACCATAAAAGCCAAATCCCCGCTGACCTTTCCCAAGGGCTGTCTGCTCCCTGTACATCTCCCTCCTCAGCTGCCAAGCCCTAAATCTGCCCTAAACTGCCTGAATTATGTAAGAGAGCCTCAAGAGCTGGGTGGAAAGCTCGAACCCTTGGAATTTAAAGCAGCACTGCTGGAGCAGGGATGGTTTCTGGAAGTCTGGAAGAGGCTCCCTTTGACCCCCCTTGGCTGCTCTGTCCCGTTGAGCTGCGCCTTGGGCTCGGCTCAGTTCCTGCCCTGCTGTTCCCTGCAGGTGTGAGGGAGGTTTGGGTGTGAGTTTTCCCTCCAAAAGCAGTTTTTGGATGAGGAGGGGTGAGCCCAGGGGGGATCACTGAGCCCCTGCTGCCCAGCGGGGTGGGCTGAGCAAAGTCAGGGCTGACCCCTGGAATCCTCAGCGACTCCCTTCCTCCTCCACATCCCCTTTGGAGAACCAGCTGATTCCTCCCTCATCCCAGAGCTGCAGGGTGCTCACCCTCCCATAGGGAATGGGCAGGAGCTGAGGGGGCTTCAACTCCTCGTGACTCTTCCCGTGAGATCCCAAACTCCCTGATTTTTATCTTCCTGGAGCTCTCCCCAGCCAGGAAGATCCCAACCCTCACCCTCTGTGCTCTCTGCCTCTCCCCCAGGGACCTGCTGCTGGCTGGGACCACCATGACAGACTCCAAGTACTTCACCACCACCAAGAAAGGTAAGGGGGGAGCAGGAATGTCACCATTCATCCCAAAAGCACCCGGTTCTTACACCATGAGCCAGGCAGGGAGGGCTGTCCCTGTGGTGGGAAGCTCCTGTGGGAATGCTGTGGCTGACAGCCCGCCCTGCTCCTCCCTGTGACACCCAGAGCAGCTCCTGGGACAGTGTGGGGTCAGGACACCTTGTCCCCAGGCCCCTGGCAGGGCTGGTGGCAGCTGCTGATCGGCTTTAGCGGCTCAGGAGCTCCCCTGGGCAGCACTCGGGGCCTTGAGCACTTTCCAGAGCAAGGAATTAATGTGGAGAGGAGCCATGTGGCATGGCCCTCCTGAGCCTGCCAGCTTGGCAGGGAATAAGGAGCTCAGGAGGCTCCAGGAGGGCAGGAGGTGGTGCCCTTGGCTGGGCCTGCAGGGGCTGGGCTGGGGAATCGCTGCCCCAGGCAGAGAGGGCGTTTGGGAACCACCATCCCTCACGTGGGCTGGGGGAGCAGTGCCCAAAATCTGCCTGCTGGGGGGACCTGCCATCCTCTGGGAAAGGGAGGGAAGGGAGGACAGGGCCTCCAGGGCCGTGTGTGGGGCTGGAGCTTGGCTGTGTGTCTGAAGTGCCCACGGGATAACCCCCTGTGCCCGGGGGGGCTGGGCCCTCCTGCAGCACCTCCCATCCCTGCAGGGCTGCAGGAGCCACAGGGATGCCCCAGCAGGCTGGTATCCATTTCCATGGAGAAGAGCTGAGCCCCCAGAGCAGCCCCAGCCCCCAGCAAGGCATTTGGGAAGTTAAATCCCCCCTCCCAGGGCTGGCAAAGGTGGGAGCCAAAGGTGGCACGAAGGGGGTGGGAGCTGTGCCCACCCTCCCTCACCAGCAGAGAGTGGGTGCCCCTTCCCCAGGCCCTGAGCTCCCCCTTTTCCCACTTTTCCAGGGGAGATATTTGAGCTGAAGGCTGAGCTGAACAGCGACAAGAAGGAGAAGAAGAAGGAGGCTGTGAAGAAGGTGATCGCCTCCATGACCGTGGGCAAGGACGTCAGGTCTGTGATTCCACAGGGTCAGGGAATGTCCTGAGCGGGAAGGGACCCACAGGATCATCCAGTCCAACCCCTGGCCCTGCACAGACACCCCAACAATCCCACCCTGTCCCTCAGAGCGTTGTCCAAACCAAGCTCTACCAGAAGTTCTTGCCATGAGTTAGGGAGAAAGGCTCTGGATAAACAGTGCTGCACTTTGCAGGCTTCACTGCAGCCCAGAAATCCCACAGAACCCTTGGATTGCAGGGTGGGCAGTCCCTCAGCAGGTGAGGTCTAGAGGGTCAGTGGGACAGCACTGGGGCTGAAAACCTCCCCAGGCAGGGAGTGAGATGAAGGAGGAAACTGCTGTCCTGGGGCACTGAAATTCTCCCAGACTTACAGGGGAGTTGGGCAGCAGTTCTTAGGTTTTTGTGACATGGGATCCAGAGTCTGGAGCTCTCCCAGAACCAGGGGAGATTGAGCCATGACCACAGAATCCCAGAATACACTGAGTTG